GAAAGATGCCTGAGTGTAATTTCTTCATGCGAAACGGGTATTGCTCGAACGGGGACGAATGCCTATACCTGCACATCGACCCCCAAAGTCGGCTGCCACCCTGCCCTCACTACGATATGGGGTTCTGCCCCCTCGGACCCAACTGTTCAAAGAAGCACGTGCGTAGGAAGCTCTGTGTTTTCTACCTGGCGGGTTTCTGTCCCGATGGACCTGAATGCAAGGAAGGCGCCCACCCCAAGTGGTCAAAGGATCTGGAGAAGCCAACCCTCAAGTCAGAAGAGAAGAAAGAAGACGACATTCGGATGGATTCTGCGCATGATGATATGGATAGGTCACGCGACCAACAGAGAGATAGAGATCGGGATGACGGGGGCAGACATAGAGGAGGCCATGGTGGTCATGGTGGCCGAGGCAAATGGCGAGGAAGAGGCCGTTACCGTGGAAGAGGTCACTAAGTAACATATTTACTTGTTGTTGTACTTTTACTCAGTTGATGATGATACCCACACGATTCCCATGTCGAGAACTTGTTGTGACTGTGAACCTCAAAGCAATGGTCGAAAGTAAGGCAACTGGATTTGTATTTTTCCAACGGCCGCAGTGTTAAAATCATTCAAGAGTTGGAGTCGTGACGGCGTCTATATGTAACAAAATCGAACGTTTTACATGTCCCATCATAATGCGTGTTATGCAGATCCAATTTACATCGGACATCCAGCATAAATTTCAATCTTCATCGCTCAAGCGGTCTCAGATGCCTGGGGAGTCCACATAGCTCCCTCATTGTCAGCATGCCAGACGTTAGCATCTGATGGGACGGCGACAAATTCGGTTGATTCTCCTTCGCCCTTCTCGCTCTCGTCGTCCTCGTCACTGCTTTCTGAACCTTCATAGGAGCTTGTCTTCCAAGTGGAGAGCTCGTCAACTCGGCGGATGCCCATCATCCATGAGACGAGACCTCGGGGGGCCCACCGTCCAACGAAGCCATACACGCTGGCACCGAGGCCAACTCGTACGGTATCAGCAGTGATCGAGCCATCAATCACATCAAAAACAGAGTTGTGGAGGCGTCGAAGCGAGCTTCCCTTCAGTCCACGGATACGACCTCCGGAGATGGCAGAGCTAGTTTGTGCGACAAAGTTTCGAGCATACACGTGTCGGGCGCCCTCAGGCCAGACAAGAGGAGACTCAGGATTTCCTGCGGTGACGAGGCCTTGGTTGGGACCGCCACGAGTCGGGACGAAACTGGAGAAGTCGAACGTGCCGAGCTGCATGTGGGTCACCGGAATATCGAGGGGTCTAAGTTCGGCGGTGAGGACTTCCGTGAAAGCGGACAGGGCCGAGCAAACGGTAGCCTCAGGCGCATGAAATGGGGGGTTGATTGAAGAAATGATAGAGGGAGTAAAGACAAGAACCTTGGGAGGAATCCATTTTTCTCCGATGGGGTTCAAGCGGGATGTGAGTAGTGGTAGGAAAGCCTGGATTGTAAGGATGGGCTGGAGGAGGTGGGTATTGAAAAGGTCGGCAAAGCTGGATGGTGGGATTGTTGCGATAGGAGACGTCTGGTAGTGGAGGCTCGGGATCAGGATAACGGATTTCAGAGTGAGCTGGTTGGGCTTCATTCCAGGGCCAGGAGCTTGAGGTGACTGGAGGAAGTGGGCAAAATGTTCGATGGCAGAGCCAGCGTTAGGAGGCTAGGGAAATGTCAGATTAGTCACACAAAAGCCCATATGGCAAACTCACATCAGTGGTATCAATGCTCAGAGGTCGAACATCGGGCCGCTTCATAGCCTGAACCATGGACTCGTCTTCTGCGGCGTTGCAAACGATGAAGACGATAAAACCCCGTCTCTCCATGTCCAAAGACAAAGACCTTGTCAAAGGAAGAGATGGAGATCCGGCGATAACGACGACATCAGTGCGCCCGCCATTTCGTGCCCTTCTCGCTCGTCTTGTTTTTCTCATTGAGCGACTTTCATAGTATCCTTTATAAACGACGGTCCCGCAGGTCAAGACAATCATTCCAGTCAAGATTTTGTGCTCGACAATCCAGTTCTGGAGCCTTTCGAAGCGCCCCAAAGAAACGACTGCCACCACTTCTTTCACCGCAGGCTTAGGCCTGACAGACTCTGGCACCCATTCCGAGGTGGACAGAGTCTCTCTGACAACTACAGCGGCGCGGTCGACATTCTTATCAATGAATTCGGAAGCAACGTCGGCGTATTGGCGAACCTGGCTCGAGAGCTACAGCACAATAAGTAAAATGTCTTGGGTGACAAGAGCCGCATGTCTTACCGTGTCCAACAGCTGCTGCGGATCGACCGACATGATGGTGGTTGGTGAAAGAGAGAAGATTGTTACAGGCTCTTCTCATATGACGGTGACCTTCATGCTAGTGGAGAACTAGGGACAAAAGCTTCTGATACCCAACCTCTTTTCCACGCACGGGCCATCCGATCTCCACGCCGGAGCACGGGGCTTAGTCATTGATCGTGACCTACCCGAGGTCGGGTATCTAGACGAAGGTAGATCATACTGGGATTGAGGGTTCTTGTGAGTGAATTAGGGATTAACCATGGCCTGCTTCACATGGACTAGACAGTGTGTTCTTGCTGACTATCGACTTTTTTCTTTCTAGTTTGTTAGTTATGTAGCCAAGAACCATCCTCATCAAGACTCGTATCCGTATATCAATGTTAGAATGCAAAATGCAACAGTATGAATGCTTTCAGTATTCTTATTCCCTTTTCGAAATCACCATAGTTTACATAATATCTACAAAAAGTATTCCAACGCTCATGATGATATGACAAACGAGGTATATCATAAATACATATGAAGTCTACCCTACCCAGAAGAGTTTGCCAGATAGCCCAGGAACGATAAAATTATTTTGACTTATAAAAGTTTGCTCCTCAGTGTTATCTAACAGGTCAAGTGATAACCCAGTGAACTATCAGACCGGCTAAAAAACTTTGATCCTACAAGTCCAAAGCATCTCATCGATCTACATGCCCAGTTGGCCTCCTGGAATGTCGACACTGAATACAAGGTTCATTAGTAAAGTAATCTTGCCATGATTCCTTTAATACAAACTCTTTGACGAGCATCTACCGTATCCATAAGTTCCAAGGCTATGTGTCAATGCTTGCCTGAACTTACACGGCCCGGATAAGATTAACATCACAGCACATTCCAATTACATCTTACATCAACAAAGAATAGTTACGTCTCCTGTCTTATGCCTAGCGGTGGTGCATATCTAGTATCAAATGAGAGAACTGCAAGTTACTATCTATGTGATATGCTCCACAGGCTTCGGAGGTGCAACTCCTATCAACCACTTACAATTATGCAGTGCAGGTAACCACAGGAACTTCGAGACAACAGAAGAGCTAAAACAATAAAGACGAGATTTGGTTTTTAAGTCAGACTCAAAGACGACCGTTCGTTGTCAAGAATGCTTCGATACTCGGAAAAAGCCTCCTTTTCATCGTCCTTCTTACATTTGTATTCTGACAGTGTTCCACTTATAGGTTGGTGCTAATTCCCCAGACTGGAGATAAATATCAGTGGAGTTGATGCGGGGATTTTGATCGGTTATCAGCGGGTCCTTTAATCAGGAAGCTCACTAAAGAGTGCTGTCTATTGTTCTGTCTCGTGACCATATTTCGTCCTTGTAACACCCTATACCACTGAGCTCGTCTCTATTAACATGGAACGAGCCCTCCTTGTATTTATTCAATTTGGCTCAAAACTTACTGGAACGGATTGCTTGATATTTCTTAACGGACTGTGACCGTTATGGGTCTCTCAAACTACCTACAGCATCGCCGAGCTGGGTAGGGCCCCTTCACGATTGCTAGTGTCTCGATACAGCTCAAGAGTGCTCACTCGAATAACATTTCTTACTAACAGTATTGAAGCCAGTTCAAACAAAAAGAGCGAACATCTCGCATCAAGGGACTGGCATCATACCATGTTTCTTTCACTGTCTTGGGTCGAGAGATCGTGAATTAGCCAATTGAAGAACTGGTCCAAACTGTCCAAAGAGACTCAAGCAAGGCTTTAGATATTCTTGATACGTATGGTAAGGTTGCTTTCAGGGCACACGAAAGAACGAACTGTGTAACAGAAGTCCTGCTTTCTTCGACTGAGCAATGGCTCACCGATGGCTCTCTCAATCTCAAAGGGCCTCTGGCTGGTATAGCTGTCAGCCTGAAAGACACGGTTGAATTGGAAGGATACGGGAGCACCGTAGGTATGAGCGCACATGCTGGGAAATCCTTGCACATGATGGAGTATTGTCAGAATACTCAAAGACGCCGGGGCTGTTCCGTATGCCAAGACCAACGTTCCCATCACACTCCTTAGTTTCGAGTCATCTAATGACATATGGGGCGAGACATCGAGTCCATACAACAAAAGCTACACGGCCGGTGGTTCAACAGGAGGTGAAGGTACCTTGCTGGCATTGGGAGGCCGAGTTAGTATTGGAAGTGATGTTGCGGGAAGTGTTCACTGCCCAGCTCACTTCTCTGGCTGCTATGCACTTAAATGCTCAACTGGAAGATAGCTTAAGACAGGTGTGGTAACAAGCATGCCAGGGCAGGATGATGTTCCTGCAGTGTACAGTCCCATGGCGCGTACACTCAACGACCTGTCCTATTTCACTCGATCGATCATCCGGATGAAGCCTTGGACTTATGACTATTCTTGTACTTGGAGAACCGATATCGAGAAAGATTTCTGCAAGAAGAGAAAGTTGCGGGTCGGAATCCTTCGAACAGACGGCGTCGTAGATCCCAGTCTCGCTTGCCGAAGAGCATTAGAGATGGCCGAATCTGCTCTCCGAAACGCAGGTCATGAGATCGTGGAGATTGACCCTCCTTCTCCTTATAAGCTCTTTGTCTAGCCTCAATCCTTTCCTGCAGCGACGGCCTCCAGACTTCAAATCCTTCTTTCGTTGGGGAGAGGGGAACGATCAAGGTGCTGCCCAAATGAGTTTCTGTTTCAGCCCCCCTCGACCAGTGAAGTACTTGCACTACCTCTCGGTCAAGTATGTTCGAGGATGCGTCGTATGGGCCGGACTCTTGCAGAATTGGCATCCTCAATCGGGATACGAGATCTGGCAACTCAATGCCGAGCGCGAGCTTTACAAGAGGAGGTGGTTTGAGTGGTGGGATAACTTCGACATTGACTGTTTGATCACCCCTCCTAATGCTACTCCAGTTGTTCCTCATAGGGGCATGCATAATGCATGTAGTAGCTGTGGCTACACCTTCATGTTCAACCTGGTAAGTTCATGGATAGGGGGAACTAAGATAACAAAACTGATCTGGGATAGCTCGACTATACCGCTGGCGTCTTGCCCGTGACACATGTCGAGAAGACAAGGGATCAACTGCCAGGAGGTTTTAGCCTCAAGAGTCTCAACGGCATTGCGCAGGGTGCATATGAACTATATGATGCGAACGCTATGCATGGATTACCCGTGGGTGTTCAAGTAATTGGCCGCCGGTTGGAAGAAGAGAACGTACTAGCAATTATGAAGAGAATTGAGGAGGCTATGGGTGACAATACTTTTCCTTTGCTAGATATAGATTAGAACCAAACCTGTCAGATACGCCTTTGCTATTCTCCTTCCTATTCAAAAATCCGTTTATAATAACACACTAAATCAGCTCAAATGCTATGGTATCAGACAACACCAACAGGTCTGAATCCCTTCTCTTGGGTTTCCTCTTCTTCTTTTCGCAAGCACATGCGTCCTTCTCACCTCCGTCGCCCTGTCACAACAAAGTCAATCTTGCCAAACTCATCCACTACCGGCTCTTCACCAGCAAAACAAGTGTACTGTTGGTTAGCCCCATGCTCAATATCAAAACCTTTGTTGCCCCATGCCTTCTCCATCTTTTGACGGAATTGCGTCTTGGGCTTTCCAGCCTGAATACGCTTCTTTTCGAAGAAAACATACGCCGCGTAGAAGGTAATGTTGGTATTGCCATCGCGGACTCCCTTTCGGCCCATGAAGTACCGCATATTGGCCGGCGATACGCTTTTGCCTTCAGGGAGGTTCTTATTGAGAGCGCGGATGAAAGCTGCCTGTGTCATTCCCTCCTTGGCTAACATAGGCCGAATCTTCTTGCGAATATCGTCGCAGGTGTCGTATATAGGAACTGTTCCGTCTGCCTCACCAGGAAGGGGGTCAACGCTGCTCACATCAAGAACTTCTTCAAGAGCCTTGGCGGAAGCGGCTGTCTTTGCTTTCTTGGGTTTGTTGGCCTTGAGGGGGAGCCCCTGGAGCTCACGCTTTTTGAAGAAGAGATGGGCTTTGATGTACGTATCGGTGTTCTCGCCATCCCATGTGCCAGTTCGATTCATAAAGCTATTGTAGGATTTGCCACTGACTCCAATGGTTTTCTGAAATTCTCCAACCTTTTGAGCGCCTGAATCGATCCAGTTACGAATCTTACGACGAATGGCATTGCAGGTGTCTGAATCATGAAGAGCTAGGCGTTCGTCTTCGCTGTCTATATCCGGCACATTGTCTGGGAAAAGATTCTCTTGGGTGTTGTCGGGACCAACATCAGACTTGCGCTTCCTAGAGCTGGTGGTTGTCGTAGCAGGAGCAGGAGCAGGGGCAGGAGCTGGAATTTGCAGTGCTCCAGAAGATAACCCTCTTGCCATGGGTGAGGTATTCATAAGTGAAGGTAGACCGCCTGGTGCTTGAGCCCCGGTTGTGTGTGGAACAAATGGTGGTGATGGGTTGTAGTAGGCAGGAGAAGTTGAGTTATTGGGCACGGGACCAGGGACAGGAGGAGGCGCAAGGTTGTTGGAAACGGGGAGAGGACCAGGCTTGTTACAGACAGGCTTATGGTTATACATAGGCAGGGCTGGGTTTGGAGCAGGTGGATGAGGTAGGTTGAGAGCTGGCATGCTTGGTAGGCTCAGTGGCGGAATAGTAGGACGCGGTTGGCCATTCATCTCTGGCTGGCTCATTTGTAGCATGGCCTGTCTAGGCGACCAAGACCAACCGGACATCTCTTTTGTAGGAAATTAAGTCGGAGGAAATTGCTGAAAGCTTTAAGATGCCGACCAAGGCAAGGTAAAGAAGGTAAAAGCAACGACTGCCGAACTATGACGTGTGTGTAGGTCCGCGCATTTTTACGCGTCAAGCCTGAGCTTCCAGCTGAAAGATAAGGTAATAAGCGGCGCGTGAATTCGTGGTGGGGGAACCACTCGATAGCTTAGGTACCTGCGTATTCAGGAACCGGCACTGTCTTTTAGCGTCTCTCACTGTCCTTGCTAGTGGAGCCTGGGTGTGCTGATGCTCGTTATTCCCGGTGTGCTCAATGAAATCCCATCCAGGCGGGCAGGGGTGGAGACTGATCGTCTCCCATATCGAACCAAATGGAGCATAAAGCAGAGCTCCAACTTCACTGTGTTTGTTGACAACCGATAGACTTCCTCGCCAGAAACAGGCTAATCGTCAAGGATAGATTGTGGTATGGATGCCATTCTAACCAAAATCCTGGCAATGAATTCATACACCTGGGCTGCCTATGGCTACTGGTGACCCGCAAAACACCAGGCAACAAAGGCAAAGGAGGGAACGGATAACGCTATGCTTGTGCTGTAGGCTAAGTTCTGGAGGAGGCATATGAGCAGTCGCAGAGAGCATTATGGTGTATATCAGACACCGGAAGATCATCTCTTTGGGAACAATGCGAACTGGCAAACCATATTACGATGGCGGCGACAAGGACAGGGCAAAGGTTCTCACCAACAAGTCTACTACAGCCATTTTCATTATAGGACGGCTTGATGGCATGAAGGGCGATTATATACTTGAAATCGGACCACGGCAGCACGAACAATGAAATCGGCTATGGACCTGTCGGTATAGCACAGGGTGCTCAAAAACAACCATATGATACTCAAAATTGAGCCACCATTGCGCTGCGGTTACGTTACGCACACGATATTAATGGGAGCATGGTGTTATCGAATATATGACTTGTGATATGTAGATCAAAGTGCACTCCCGCCTTTCCAGATGCCAGTTTCATGAGCCATCACACAGCCCAGTCCGAACCTGTTCCCGGCTTAGGTGCTCTAAGTGACATGATGAGAAGCAAGCCCAGCGACCTGGGTTGCTAGAATAAAGTTGAGTACCAACTACTAATGATAAACAGCAGTAGAACAACGAAGTTCTATATATACCGTAAGGGCACCTGCTCTGGTTCAAGTAGTATTGCCTTTGATACTCAATGAGAGATGGAGTGATAAAAATGTATAAGCAAACTGGGAATGGTTGGTTACATGAGGCCCATTCAGATGTTTCAAATGCCATACGGAGTAGGTGTCTATTTTCGGCATCGGAAGCTTGTGTTGGTAAATACGACTGCCTCAAATGCAATGTTATACATTACTAGATTCTTTCAACTGGCATAACAGTCGCCAATGTGTGGTTTGCGAATGTGAAGTTAAGAGATATCTTACCTCTGGCGAGAACGTCCTCCCACTACTACAGGGGACAAGGCTCTATACAACTCCTTTGTCAGCAAGCTCAGTCTGCTCAATGCTGGCAATATGGAGGGCGTAGCCAAATACCCATTGGATATAACTTTTGTTGATGGCTTTTCTTGTCTAAAATGCCTTTCAAGTAGTTCTTTCTGATCAAAGGGGATGTTGGTGGTGCGATATCGGCGGGTGTGGGGTAGTTACCGTCTCTAGCTCTAGCTCCAGTGGAGGGGCGGGGGGTTTAACATGGAACGATGAGACGGGACCTAAGGAGGGGTCGAGTATTCGAGGCAGTGGAGGCTAGGTGTGGGGAGTAAGAGACTTCTCGACATTGCTGGTCCTGAGATCTGGAAGATATTCATGATGTTCCCATTCAGATGATGATTTGGGAGATATTATGACGTAGTACCAAAGTTCACATTATTCCAGGAAGCGATTAGTGTGGAGGGCATTAGCCGAGAGACTTCTTCAAATCATTGCGCTCGAGTCATCGCAAATAACACTAGCCAACTCAACCGCTCACTCCGCAACCAATGCAAATACCCGCTCGAGTCACTACAGCGAACTGCGTTCTTCTTCAAAATCCTCAATGAGACAATTGGTCATCATCGCAGCATATACTGCCCACTTGTCGGAAGCAATATAACAAACTAGAGCGCATTTGTCATAGTGCTTACAATCAACGTGTGTTAGGCGCGTGATGTGAGCCATCAGCTGCGGGGACTATCAACTCGAAAAAACACTCTTACAAAGCCAGTTCAGGCAGTATACCAGCTACCCACCCAACAGCTTATAATCAATACCACTAGTCTATAGCCTAGGTACCCATTCTACAGCTTACAACCAACGCACGTACCAGGCAAGTTGTTGACACTGGCGCCATTGGCTTCGAAATCTCATCTGGCCCATAAGCCCCAATCACATCACAACAAGACTCGATCTCATTCAAGGTATCTCCCCCTTTCATGTCCAGTTTCAGCATCATCGCCGCCACACCCCAGCAGCAACGCCTGCAGCGACTGTAAGTACACATTCCGCTGTTGGACTTGCCCTGCACCTCTGCCCGCCGGTTCTTAACTGTACCACTACAACCGCCTCCATTCCCAGAGAGGAACCTCTGCTTGCAAAATCTACGCATGTCCAACCACATTCAGCTCCATGTCGCCGAGCCATCCAGCCGCCTGGAGCAGAGTACATGTCCCTTCCAAGACTCTGTCACCGTCACCCCGCGGATCTCTTACAATACCCCATCGACCACAAGCTGGCCATCCTGAAATATATCAGATCTTTCGACAGCAGCAAGACCGATACTACAGTCCCTCAGATTGTATTCTCAAAGAGCGTGGAGACATACGAGGAAGAGGCTGGGTGGAACGCGGGAGAGAACGATACCGTGGAGGAGACCGATGACAATATCGTCGTCGAACCCGAATATTATATCACGAAAGGCGACGGGGATAACTAAAAAGGGGAAGCTTAGACCCGGGATCACGTTGAACGCGGCCGTTCACTGTCGGCCTTAACCAGGATAGTCGACCTGCTGGTGCGAGAGCTCGCGAAGGCGGCAAGTTTCTTATCATAATTCGAAAAACCACCGAGATCCAAGCCTCTGCTCTCCAAGGTCATCTTGAACACGAGATTTCATTCAACAACAGCATACAAGAGGCGCTGAACTTCTTGGATCATCCTGTGCGATACTAGCCTTCCAAGCACCTCCTGGCCATCAAGCGAAACTTTTATAAGACTGGTCAGCCTAAAGCGCCCATTCACATATGGGAAATTGTTGAGACTTATGACTGAGAGCTTAAATCAGCAGACAGAGCTTAGTCGAGGTTCATAATGGCACCTGTGCTTCCATCCGCATGGGTGACAACATCAAGCAGAGAGGTGTTGGCCTTGGCTACAACGCGTGCTGATTTCTCGATTCGTCCTGCATTTAGCAAAAGACACACCCAGTGCACTACCAGCTGCCCATCCCCAAAGGATACCTAATGCTGAGTCGGTGATGGAGATAAAGCTGTGATATCGGTCTTCGTGGGAGGGGAGGCGTGGCCGACTTCAAGGCCCTTTTGCCGGGATGATGAACTTTCCTAATCGTCCTGGGCTTGAGGCCACCCCCCGACAAAACCTCACTAATCACAACAAAGATCATCCCCTTCAGCAGAGAATACGCGCGTGACCGCATCGGTCAAGCAGGTATTTTCTTCCTTCTTCCGAGCTTGTCTATTATCTACCCAAAGTCCTGCTGTATCGGCCCATTCTGTGGCGACTAAATCCCACATTGAGCATATCATAGCGTACCATGGAAGCTGTCGAAATCTGAAACCGGAGACCACCCGCTATCCATCATCCTCGTCGGAGCAGAAGGCGATTGCATTCCTTTTCCATCTACCGTGGCTCTTAGACCTAGTAGCGATCGTCATCTCAGAGGACGGGGACCAGCGACAACACAACCATCTCGGCATCCCTCACTGCACTCCGCAAGTCACGAGATATCACCACACAGAGGAACCAATCAGGAAAGCGGAGCGGCTAGACCTGGCACCACGGAAGTGTTCGGCCCAGAAATACTTTAGCCTGCGGCCGTTCATGGTCGCCATTCCGATCCTCACTCCAATACCGCATGTCGCGATTTTCTAGTTGGACAAGATGTCAGCTGCCAGTGTGCCGGCACATTCCTCCATCCTCGGTCTGCGTCAAATCATAAGGTCCTATGTCAGAGGAAGATCATATGAGGAGGCCCTAGGCACGGGTAGACTAGGCGTGTCAACTTAACATTTAGCCACGCGACGGCGAGCGAGAGTTCAAATGATAAGCACATCGTCATTCTAACCATTATCCTCTCCCGAAGTCGAATCGTAAAATCGGCATCAGCTTCCGCAAGAGCGTTTCATCGCAGCCCTCGCCTCGTGAGCAGCCATTGAGTTCTGGTCGAAGGACACGAGATCAACGCGCCACTCATTCAAATCAGAGCTCAAGCCGGTCTGGAAGGGTCGCGCCCTGCCGGCCAGTTCCGGGGTCAGATGAACGGTGGCTTCGTCATCAAACTGGACAAAGCAATCGGTGAGAGTGGAGAGGCTACATCCACAAGTCAGCGCCAAGAGACAGTATGAAGCTCGCGATGGCTGTAGTCGCAGATGAAAGGAAGGGTGCGTATGCGGAAGGTGAGACTCGCTGTGTGGCATGCGACAGAAGATAAAGGAGGGAAGAGAAACGAATGTTGTGACAAGCAGGATGAACTTATTGTTCCGTGGCGACCACGCGAATTTCGCGAATTTCCGATATAAGTCAGTGTATCTGCAAGAGTTAGGGGTTATTCTCGGAAAGGGTGTCCTTCGCCATAGCTGAAGTGTAGCAACCCACCATGTAGGCTTTTGCCAATACCTTCAAGAGCACCTACATCAGCCCTGGAGGCAAGCGACTGGCGACCCTATCCTTTTGCCTACGCCTAGTCCTCTTTAATGTGATGCTGCGGGTGCCATTGCTCACACTCGTGAGCAGATCACGAAGCAACGAGGCTACACCCAGCTCTTGTCTGTTATCGTCTCTAAGAAAAACAGCGGAACGTATGAGCGCCTCAAGAAGTCTGATTTATCACGCTCATGAGCAGATCACGAAGCAACGGGGCTACACCCAGCTCTTGTCTGTTATCGTCTCCAAGAAAAACAGCGGAACATATGAGCGCCTCAAGAAGCCTGTAGATTGCAGACTTGGTATTCTTACCTAGGTCATCTTTAGCAACTATGTGCAGAAGAATAATGAGCGATGCCATTTGAATGCCAAAAATCGACACGCCATATAGCCTTTACTAGGCATACTGATGGCCTGATTCTCATTGTCACTCTGACAATGACCTTCCCACTGCTTACAGCTATATTATCTGCCGGCCAATTCGACTTAACCCCTTATGCATCTTCCTTGATGTCCTGCTTGTCTGTCTCGACGCTCTCCATTATGTCATTGTTGATGGTGAACGTGTATATTTATCACCTCAACTGTACATAACCATCGAGGCTATTAAAAGGGCGTTGCTGTACTTGATGCAGCTCTGGCACATTTTCAGCTATCACTGTCTGGACGATGAAGACGCTGGTTATCCCGAGACGACATGAGACTAGGCATATTGAGAATGCCAGGACAATGGCCCCCCAAAACACCGTTCCCAGGCCCTTTCAGCTACACAGTAACAGGCAGTAGACCTTCTTTTCCTCATTCGTTGCCGATACTTTACCATCACTACTCTATATATCGAACTTCCTTTAGTAGTATCCATTGCATGCAATCTGTATCTTTCGGTATTTGCCCTTATTCTCTCAACCAACAGATTACACCATTACCAAATTAACTCCCTTTATGAAATCTCCCAGTTGTACCAGCGATTCCCCATAATATAGTATAAAACTTCGTGTAGGACAAGACCGTCTAGTGTAAGTAAACGTGTGCATACTTGGCTTCTAGGAAACGAGATAAGCAACACCAAAACGAGATCCCACCTTGCTAGGTCTGTCTACTGGAATAAGCTCTCAGACACAAGTCTCAACTGCAAATACCACATCTGACCTCACCTTGCAATGGCCACTGTATCGAACGAGAAGCGATACCATGGGTAAACACAAACGATCTAGTGGGGCAGAATAAGGCCAGCTTTATGCATGTAATTGAAATACCCCTAGAGGGCGTGAAGCTCAGGATGCCATTTGCAAACCGGCCACCAGGTTGATATGTGTTGTGGATCACATGACGACCACTGGGCAGATCCCAAGATCGACCAGATTGGAGATCTTGCGCAGGTAAGTAGATCCTTGACCGTGGCTCCTCAGCTCCTCAATCCAACTCGGTGACCCTGACGAGGGCGGCGTATGAGGCGAGGTCGCTTGCCGCCCGGGGGGACGTTGGGCTCGCCCAAGCGTTTGGCGGGTCGTTTCGCCGAAGTCGAATATCGCGGTGCCGGGGACGAGGGCCCTGCGGCCGAAGTTGACAGTCGTGATACCAGAGATGAAGCTGACGCGTTGAAAGCCGGTCGTTGTCTCGCCTGAGAAGTAGATCCGGAAGCCGCTTTCGAGGTTGGGGCATGGGCTTAGCAGACTGAGAGCCTCTGAGTCGCCTCATCTGCCGTGTCTTGCGCACCGCCACTGATTTTACCCAGCTCCTCTTGGATTTCTGCAATAGCAGACGAGGCGGAGATGTGGTTATCGACAGTCTTAGGGCGCAGAGACTCGACGAAACCGCCGTCATCTGTGATGATAACGAGCCCGCAGTTTTCAACGTCGATGAACCCCTTGTGGACGTCTCCTGCAGACAAACGTGGGTCTTTCCTCCCCTGTGACAAGGGCCATGACTTCGATGCCGCGTTACATGTCTGCGCAGTAGTACTTCACGAGTTGGTCATTCGTTCCGGGGTAGATCGGTTCGAATATATGATCTCATTGAAACCAGTTCTTGATGGCTATGCGAAGCCAGCCTGCCACTGCTCCACATGATCGTAGCACCATCCGCCTTACCCATTTGCGCCGCGACCCCTGATACCGTCGCTTTCGAGGTCCAAGGCTCTGAAGCCAGCAGCGACCTCTACCTCCATACTTTCAGGTATTGACGGAGACTCGGCGGGTGTGCCCGAGCTGGAGGCGCCGGGTTCTTGTATATGGTCATGGAGTGCAGGAGGGGCCATATTGATATTACTTTGATTCCGTTTCACATATAGCTACAGCCTATGGCAGGGAGTCACCTTTTTCACAGACTAAACATACCTCAGCCTCCGCTTGAACGGCACTATCAGCATGCATACACTGTCCAAATGTTGACGATGATGCAAGGTGATATGTATGCAAGAGGGCTGATATAAAATAAATTCATTAAACGCAGAGTAACCCAGTCGTATACACATCTTCCTGGAACTGTGGGAAATAATCTATCAGGTCTCAGTGTTACTATAACTTTATGGACACTACCGAGTATTGATTGAATCAGCTATTCCAGTATATTGAAGCTAATGGATAGCCTCTGTATAGCATCGGCCGTCGATACTGCCGGCTCATGGTCCTGTATTTTCCGTTCATCATTCGTCGAATAGATCCAGTCCTGTGAGCCATGGGAAAACAGTAGCGGTTTCAACTTTTCGCGCATGATATCTGCTCGCCACCGTGAGTCTTCGGTCAATCGCCAGCGGGAATGCACCGCGAGGTAAGCTCAGGTAAGATACGGTCTCGACGTTGACGGGGCCAACTTCCATTGTGCGACGCGCGCGAAAGAATGACGATCCTCGAGTGAGGAGACACATTTGTTTCAGCTGCGGGAGTTGAAGCAGTGCATCATAAGTGATCGATTTCATCACAATCTGTACATTGTCATGGTGTAGATTTTCCATCATGTCGATGTACTGTTGACCTTGATACGAGCATCGAACCATTGCTCCTTCCATGAGGCAGAACGCAAAGTACCGCAAGTGTGGCAGTCCATTCTTGATGCTAGTGGAGATTCGGTTGATTGAAACTTCCTGTAACATTGATAAGTAAATTTGCCAGACATGCAGGACGGGCACCGCAACTTACAAAGTCGTATACACCATCCTCTTCGAAACCAGGCGACGGATGCGGATCATACAATCCAGCGAACACCAACTGTTGGAGAAATACAAACCCATTATCCGCAAGTGATCTGATCTCGTGTTCCGGCATCCATGTATTCACATGGAAGCCTTTGGTTTGCTGCCCAACATAAAGACCCAGGATGTTCGTGTGATACCGAAGTGTCTCGCCATAGAGCGTGAGATAGTTGAGAGAATCTACGTCAAGATAACGTACTCCGTCGTTTCCGCATCTGCTCAAAAGGGCTCCAATAAGGATTTTCACGTCGAGACTCCGATCTCCCTGTGGCGTTACCAGCCGAATGTCTTGAAGTCGCGAGGGACGATATCTCCCCAAGCGTCTAATCGACTGTGCCAGCTCGTAAAGATCGAAAGGTGTCTCAGCACCTTCCGATTCCCGAAAGTTGAGGTTGATGCTTGGAAGCGGTAGCCGTGTTACAGCTTCTGCGATCTTGCGCATACAACGCTGGTCGAAAAGTTCGTATCGCCGATCTTGGAAGGTTCGCACATCTGGGACAGCCGAACCGTTGACAACGATTTCAAGGTGGCTTAAATTGTCAATTCACCATTTTAATGTCCTCTTGGTGTGATATGAACTTACCGAATAGCCTTGTCAGCGGCAAATTCACCTGGCGTCGGATTCAGGGACAGAATCTCGTTTAGTCGGTCAACAACTTCAGCTTGGCCGCCAGTTACCCGAACGGTGGAAAACAAGACATTGCCGAATACCGTTCTCATTTCTTTCGAGCATGAGGAAAGACTCTTTAGTGTTGGTTTGTCGAGAAGTTTGGTCAGTTCTAGTGTGCAGTCGCGTGGCAGGGCCAGTATAAGGGGCCGCATCTCGTAGAGTTAGATGCTTTGCCGGAGTCTAATACTACTTGAACTTAAGGAACAGCTGCTGGAAGGAAACCTGGATATTTCAGACTGTGTGCCAAGTGTCGGCTATTATGCGCGTGAATGTTTGATATGGTGGTTGGTGATCGCCGCAGCGTCGATGGGAAGCCAGAGATAAAAGTCTCTAATGTAAGAGATTGAGGGAGAGAAACTTGAAAGAAAAGAAAAAATATAAGGAGAAGAGAAGATAACTATTACAGCAGATGCAATACAGCATGCCTGAGGCAGTAAAATAAATAGTGGCATCTATGTTATAGCAGCTGCTTGACAGTGATTAACAGTACCTAAGGTAGTTGACCTATCAAATGGATATAGAATCTTAAACTTCTCTTCTTGATACATGGATATTTATTCACCTACTTAACTTATTCATCATATTGAAAATATCATTGCCGCTGGAAGACTCAGCGGTCAAGCGCCTTGTCGCATTTTACCTCAGACATGTCAGCATCGGTTTTGCTAGCCACTCCTACATATTATTGACGTGAAAAGTCACATTCTGTCGCCATCAGTTCTCGAAATTGTTGTCCCTTCGTTCTCCCTGACACTGGCAACGTCCCCAGCAGCACCACTCGATCAACCCATCTCGCTGTAGTGTCTTGACCAGACAACGACAGCATGGTTAAAACAAACTATGAACTTGAGATTGATGGCGAAAGGCACCAACTCACTCAAGACATCCAAGAAGAATTCGAATGTTTGGAGGGCTGCTCTTACAAAAACATTGCCGAGCTGCCCGAGTCGTCCACCAGGGAGGCCATGAGGCGAATAGAAATCTTGTGTCACCCTTACACCGACATCAGGTTCCAGCCACTGTGGCATCGAGATGACCAAGTTGTCCGGCTTTGTATGGAATTCATGCATATGAGTCATTGGGATACCGTCTGGAAAACGAAACACGATGATGAAAAACAAGAGGATCAAGTTGAATTTGACTGGGACAGCCAGTTTTATGATATCGATTCCGACCCAAGAATTGAATGGTGCGACTCTATATCGTTGGAAACAGCTGTGTTGCATCGCGCAACAAAGATCGGGGGTGGGAAGGATGCATTTACAGGCAACATCTCAGAGCATGTAAAGGATCTTATCCGCAAATAGAAGAGCGGATATGACCTTATTGCCCGGATGCCTAACCACTTAGTCAATGGGCGGCCCTTATTGATTTCAGCCAATGGTCACCGGGAATATATTGCTCGAAAGGCGCTGCAGCTTGATGAACGCGTTGCTCAAACCATAACCCCTTGGTTTCCAGAGAGTCGCGAGCTCGATGCTCTCACTCTGGCCGTCGGTCAAGGGATTCCGTGGAGAGTCAAAACAATTGAGGCGGATACTCCCCGAAAGCATCGGAGAATTCCTGCGTCCAGTATTGTGTGGGCTGAGCCTGGGCATCTGAAGGCAGCCAGGTCAACCTACGATAAGGGTGAGCAGGAAAACAATGAGCATGAGGAGTTGGCGGCCCCACTCGACCAATTTCCAGAAGATCCTACACTTGCAATTGTTCATGCCCACAGACATGGTTATTATATTGTTTGCGAAAGGAAATATGATATAGCAGCGAAGGAAACATAGACACTAAAAAATTCATTCCTAGTGCCCCCAAATTGTCAAATTTTCCTCTCACAACCTCCCCCCCACTAACCTCTCTTCTCTTCAACCTCTCCTCTCCTCAACCTCTCCTCTCCTTAACCTCTCCTCTCCTCATTAACTTCTTTGCTTTCTCATATTTCCCTTTCATGTCAACGGCGCGCAACCACCCGGGCGCCACTGATACAGATCGAGGCTTGACATTGCCTTCTAAAATTCACTGCCCAATTATATTGCCATTTTACATACCATTCCCAGGAACCATTGTCATTTCTGCACATCAGATTTGAAATATGGATAACGGTACTGAAGTTAGTGAAAAAACTGTTATCTGGAGACAGCAGATGGCGGTAATATTCGATCCTAAGAATGGTCACTCCACCAACGAAGTGAAGGTTGGAACTGCTGATGATCCTACTCTCATCAGTTCCGACGAATCGCATAGCTCTGAAGATGATGGCGAAAATGACTCTCAGGTTGTCGAGGAGTCTTACTCGCCTACCTGCCCTCTTGCAGTGCGCCAGGAAGCTGGTATCTGTATTTGCATTAAGGAATTCTATCGAACAGACCCCCAATTCGAACCGATCTGGAGTCGCGAGGATGAAGCTGTCGAACAAGAGATGCGCCTACTCTCCAAAGGAATCAAAAGAAAAATCGAACCACACGAACATGGTGCCGAATACGGTGGTTTGGATTTCTTTAACCCCGAGAATAGCGAGCTTGTGTTTTGGACAGACGACAAAGAAGCATTCCAGCTATTTTCCAGAGCCGTTCGCGAAGAGTCAAAACCACTAGGTGGTGGTTCCAAGTTTACCGAACAACTTGTGGACGCTTATAACAGAGGGCAGCACGTTGTGTGCTTTCTAAATCTCCTCGAGTCCCGCAAGAAGACCGTCAATGTCACCTTGGAGGAGTATAGGGAGCTCGAAGAAAGGAATGCAATGGCACTACTAGCTTACGCAGAAAGCGAAGTTGCTCCCTGGTTCCCCGAAAATGGACGACTCGACTGGATGTTTGATGCCTGTAAGCGAGGAGTTACAATCAACAAAATCGGAAATGACCGTGAAATCGTCAATAAATCGAACGAACCTATCGATTGGGAAAAAGCCAAGATCGAATTTGTTGACCCCGATAGGTTGGAGACTGCCAGGTCGAAATTTGTGAAAGGTCAAACTTCATCAGAAATGGTTAATGATGTCAGGCTACAAAGAATCATTCAACTACACCTGGACGGCCATACTCTCATTGGGAAAACCAAGGCCGAAGGGAACACCAGTGATACCGAGGACACTTACGATGAAGATTCTTCCACCCATTCCGACGAAGAGTCAGGTCCAGCAAACGACATGGATTCATCCGAGGAAGAATACAGCGGCAATGATGACTACGAATTCGGCAAGCCTGATATTGAAAGCTGGCTCGAAGAACAGACGAATACCGGTGCATATGGCTCAGCCTCAGTACCACAGTCCACAGACTGGCATTCCATTCGAACGGGTGGCAAACAAGGCTGCAAGACGTGGCCAAAGAATATGGCCATCGAAGCAGCGTTTCGGGAATTTAAATTCGCAGGTGTCCCTGTGAGTGTGAAAACACGCAGGTTCAAGAAGGAAACGAGTGGAACTAAGCTGCTCAGAAAGGTCCTGCAGCATATCGATGAGCACTACCGGGAAGTCGAAGCAGAGACCAGAGCTAAGCCTCGCAAAAACAAAAACAAATCCAAATCTGGCGAGGGCACAGGCGATGCAACGGCTGACGACGACTCCAACAATGGGCCAAAGAGAAAGTCTCCTGGCGAGTCGAAGTTTATAAAAAGCATAAGAGAGATGGGCCGGGAAGCAGAGAAGTTATATAACGGGGCAATGGGGGTTGGAAGGAGATCGACAGCATACCGGGACATGTTGCCCTCAAATGCGCAGGTTCTGGCATCTAGATTTATCAACCCATATGGTCATTTGACTGGCAAACTGTCCGGGTCGCTCTGTGTGTGCCGTTCGTCGTTTCTTGGCGATATCCCTAATCAACCCGAGGGGATAAGCAGAGACAACCGAGATGATCCTGCAGATGCGGAGGATGAGGATCAGATGGACGAAGCCGAATCTGCAGGCAAGATCCCTGAAGACATTCTCAACAGTGCTGCAGATGCGGAGGATGAGGATCAGATGGACGAAGCCGAATCTGCAGGCAAGATTCCTGAAGACTCGTGCAGCAATGCTGAAGATGCGGACGATGAGGGCGACACAGCTGCCGTTAATAATGTCTTGCCAGAATCGTCAGGAGATAACAACGCCAAAAGCATTGCAATGCGCTGTATCCCTGCGCCAGCAGGTTTTAAAGGGCATGAAGAGCAGCCAGCTTTGTGTGGTGGGTAAGACTCGTGTCATATTCGAACACTGATCGAACGGCTTTCTCAGTCGGCACCCCGTTGTTTTCATAGAACTCTGATAGGCTGAGAACCAAATCAAGGGCGTGGGCTTCGGCCAGCTTTTGGACCAGGGGCTCCTGTCGTCCAAGTTCGCACCAATGAGATTGGATTTGCTGAATTACCTTGCGAGTAGTTGGTACTGGCGTTGCCCTTGAGGATCTGGCGTTCCGGGTTCAAAGACATCGGCACTGGCTTTGTGGAACGCGCGGAAGGTTGCCTCAATCGAGATATCCCAGACCACATGTTGCTAGATGCACCAGTCGCCCGAATGTCATAACATTCCATTGTCTCTAGCTTATCGATTCTCGGCCAGGTTTTGCTGTTGTCGGCGAAGGATGTCTCCTGATTGCGTTGATAGCTGTTTGTTTTGGTGTTCGAGCTGGTCTCAAGGAGGAAACCAACGTCCTCACTAGCAAGGTCGATGCCGCGATTGACTGGTACCATCGTTTGGGCTGGCTGGTGGTCCTCTCCGGCCTCGCTATCGCCATCTTCAAGGACTTGGGGAATAAACTCGGCGGAATGGTAAAAAAAAAAGTGTTGGGTTTCTTCGGCGATGAGCGCCTTAACGGCCATACCAAGTATGCCGGTAGATGGCTTATTGGACGAGCTTGTCGATACTAGCGGCGCAGACAAACGCCTCCCTGGTGGTTTCGGGGCTAAGGGGGGGTTCTGTTTGACCGTTATAAGGGCGGCAGTAACGGCTTTATAAGGTAAAAACATAATGTTCCTGTCGTTGAACTTTGTACGCTTGTGCTCCACAAAGCTACTAAATATGGGTAGCTCTGTCTACCTAACGTCCATTCGTGGTCAAGAACGTGTTGCGTACATGCTCTTAACGCTATCGGCAGGCAGGGGCTTGCTCGCCTTTTCATTGTTGGTGTCCAGGTAGAAGAGCTGGTTGGTTTTGCGAAATATTCGAGGTAGGTGGCTTTGCTGGCGAGGAGCTCACCACTGTCCGTCCTTCCAGTTGTTGAGGACCAAAGCCCCACGTCCGTCTGTAACGGCGTAAGCCAGTCAGCGTTGAGCGTATGTTCCACTGATGGTGCCCCTGCCCATACGTCGGCGAAGGCTGTCCAGTTTTGGAGGCAGTGTTTCGAAATATGCACTATCGTCAGTGACTATGGCGTCCCTGAATTTCTCGATATCGATGAATATCTTGTTGAAAACTGCGGCATCCACAAGTGCTCCGTCATCATCGCCTTGTCGGGGATGAAATCTAACATTGTGCGAGACATTATTGTCCTTCACGCATTGCAGCGGCTTCGCCGTCACGGCCAAGATAAATTGTAAGATGGTCTGGGTGACGTCGGATCCAAGCGTTCACGGCTAAGCGGAGGCGACATGCTTCTGCCGCCCAGAGTTCGTATATATATCCGTCAAACTCGGACGTGCCTCCATTGATATTATGGCTGTCATCCTCAGAAGCACATGAGACGGATAAAGCGTCATGCTCAAGAATTGCTCGTTGGAGAATCGATGATATTTGGAGGTCAAATTTGTCGGGTTTGATGAGATAGATTGGCGGCCGGTTATGATGACGAGCAGTTGAGTAAAGTCCACGTACAGCCACTTGAAGTCGGTTATATGGCATACACTGGGAATATGCTTGGCCGTTTGGTGGCTCATGGCGCTAAGCATGAAAAGCAGGCTGCAGAGCAGTTGGCTCTCGTCCAGGGCAATTCGCGGGCAGAGTGAGTCGCTTTGGCTATTGAGATTGGGGTCCGGCCCATGAAGTTCGTGAGGCGTGTGGTGGGATCCTGAAACTGAAGGAATACTAGTAAGGCAGGGAGCGCTGGGGTCGACCGAGCTGTTGAAAGCGTCAGGCGGACTGCTTTAGATAATAGAAGACTCGGAACCACTAGAGTAAAAATAGTTGAGAGGATGTACTCCGTAAGGCAAAAAGGATCCAATGAGGGGAGGTGGGGATCATTACCTTAGGGAACCCCACCTGACCCGCATAAAATTGGCAGGGCGTCACCAGGCCCAGTAGTCCTCGTCGTTGTTTCACGCGTGATGGTCTAGATGGTGTGCTGGAAGTGTAGAGAGAGAGGCTAACTTACGTATAGGTATGGCATCCAGAAGAGCAACACATTGCGGGCTCTTGATGGAAGACAATAAGCGATAAAGGGATCGTGTTGACTCCGTGGCCACGATGCGACTACAACATCGCCATGCTATGTCTTTTAAGATATTATATCTAAAAAGGTCAACACTATAAGCTTCATATTTATAAACCATTAAATGCCGAATTGGAACAAGATTAAGAAATAAGGTGCAAAAACTGACAAGAGTGATTTAATATTTATTATTCATCATTGACACTCATGAGACAGGTATTCCCATGGAAATAACTGGATACAATAGCGAAGATATAATGATTTAACGCCAATCAACCATAGGTTCCTTCCCGTTTAGTACAGCTTAATGGCAACAGACTTGTTCTGTGTGTAGTTCGCCAACGCAGCCTCGCCCAATTCCCGACCAATTCCAGACTCCTTGTAGCCGCCAAAAGGCAATTGATGGTGGAGCATATTGTAGCAGTTCACCCAGACAGTGCCGGCCTTCAATGCGTTGGAAACTCGGAGAGCTGTGTTGAGGTTCTTGGTGTGGACGGCGGCAGCGAGACCGTAGGCGGTATCGTGGGCAAGATCAATGACCTCCTTCTCATCCTTGAACTTGGAAATGGCGCAGACAGGGCCAAAGATCTCCTCCTGCATGATCTTCATGTCGGGACGTACGTTGGAGAAGATAGTGGGCTTGATAAAGTAACCCTTGTTGCCGAGGCGCTCACCACCGGTCTCAACGGTAGCACCCTCGTCCTTGCCAGCCTTAATGTAACCCATAATGCGGTCGTACTGAAGCTGAGAGACCTGGGGGCCCTGGAAGGTCTCCTCATTGAAAGGATCGCCGACCTTGTTCTCTTCAGCTCGCTTCTTGAAGGCAGCGAGGAACTTGTCGTAGATGCCTTCCTGGACAAAGATACGGGTACCAGCACAGCAGCACTGGCCGTGGTTGTAGTAGATGCCGAAGTTGACCCAGTTGATAGCCTCCTCAATATCAGCATCGTCAAAGACGATGTTGGGAGACTTGCCACCAAGCTCAAGGGTGACCTTCTTGAGGTTAGAGGAAGCAGCGGACTTCATGATCTGTCGGCCAATGACGGTGGAACCAGTGAAAGCGATCTTGTCAACGTCCATGTGGGCAGAGAGAGCAGCACCGGCAGTCTTGCCGAAGCCAGAAACAAGGTTGAAAACACCAGCAGGGAAACCAGCCTGCTCGATGAACTGAGTGAAAACCAGGGCAGAGAGAGGAGTCTGCTCAGCAGTCTTCATGACAATAGTGTTACCAGTGGCCAGGGCAGGGCCAATCTTCCATGCCAACATAAGAAGAGGGAAGTTCCAGGGGATGATCTGACCGCAGACACCAATCTGATATGTGTTAGTGACACAGAACAATGCAATTCGAATCAGGGGTAACTTACAGGCTCAGATCGGGTGTAGTGGAACATGTCAGGGGCAATATCAATGGTCTTTCCCTCGATCTTGTCGGCCCAACCACCATAGTATCGCAGGCAGCCAACAACGGCACCGACATCACCACGGGCGTTGGTGATAGACTTTCCGTTGTCGAGAGACTCAACAGCAGCAAGGAGATCGAGGTTCTTCTCAGCAAGGTCGGCAAGCTTGAGAAGGTAGTTGCCTCGAGCCTGAGGTGAGGTGTTCTTCCATTCGCCGTCGAAAGCCTTGCGAGCAGCAGTAACGGCCAAGTCGATATCCTTCTCAGTACCTTCGCAGACGGAGGTGATGACCTCCTCGGTGGAGGGGTTGATGACCTCGAACTTCTGCTTGTCGACACCCTCGGTCCACTTGCCGTCGATGAAGCTAAATCGTATTAGTTTTTGAGCGGGTGAACAGGGTTCGATGCCATGATCACTTACAGGCCGATGGGCTGCTGGTAGTTACCAGTAACAGGTGTGGACAGCTCAACAGTGAGGGGAGCCATTGTGTATGATATATGAGATGTTGTAGAGGAGAGGGAGGGTACTGGGTATCAAATGAGGATGTCGATAGAAGAGAAGAGTGAAGAGGAGATGATGAGATGATCTGGGAAAAGGGACCGGAAATGTTGACGACGGGAAGGGAGTATTTATTCTTGAGAATGACGCGGGGTTTTTCTGTGGAAGAATGGAAGTAGGGGACTAAGGGGGGCGCCCATCGGGGTGCGATGTGCCGTGAACCTCGGTGGAGTGGAGGAGGGGTGAAGTTCAAGTGACGCCAACTTTCCCCGCAACAGCCTCGCCTCTCACACCTGGATGAACATGGATGCCCTGGTACGTACTGGTTTCTTGCTACCTGAAAAGGGAAATGCTATGGATTGCACTGGCTACCGCTCACACTGAGACCCCCAGCGGACGGACGGGCACCCCATAGCTTTGCGGAGCATTGTCGTGGCGGTGGTGGACAAGAGATGGTTAGCATGGTTAGTAGTCGAAACGTCACGTAAGTTGTCCTGTTAACATCGACTGCAGCATTAGCCCAATCACATTACAGCAAACCCCGAAGGACAGGACTTGCTACGAAGTGGTCTCGGAACGGCTCAAGGGCAGAACAGAGCTCTCCTCTAAGCCGGTATCAAGTAACGTAACCCCAGACCACATCACATTCATGTCAGGCAACGATTTGACCGAACCGCGGGGCAGAACAGGGATGTTTAAGCAGTACTACCCAGGAAGAAGCAGTTACAATGTCAGCAAATGCTACAGTATGTTTGTACTACAGTACTTCAACGTGCCCAGCGCCTTTGATCACTGGACCGATGAACTGTCCCTTGATAGACTACCAACTGCTCCATCGGATCTTGCTACTGGTTCTGTCATGGCCTGTAACCCTTTCGCTTCCACAGCTCTCTGGGCTCCCCGCCAAAGTGGATGGATCTGACGGTTTCTACAAATCACAACAGCCGGCAGAAACAAGGTCCAAACATGCCGCCACCACATGCTCCAAGCTCTCTCCCCACATCCGAGCCACCAGTGGCCAATGGTGGGGTTGCAGGGGCCTTTATGGGCCTTGGAGGAGGGGATCTGCGCCAAAGAGGACAAGCTTAAGAACACGAAATTCAAAGTGAACAGAATTGTCAAAGCTCGGTATAGCAGATACCTGGGGATATTTAAAAGCATGCCACAGTGTTGATTACGAGGCAGAGCAATACGACTTGAGTAGCCTCAAAATCATTGTATAAAGCTTCATGGCTCTGAACTGGGCGTCACTTGAAACCGTTGAGAGCACTGACAAATCAATCTGGGTTATCAATGATGCATGCACAACCCCCGGAGCCGACACCAGGTACAAGTAAGTACACGCACTTACAGTTGAGAGGTGGTAATGCGCCGCAATACGACAGGGTCTCTCACTGGGGACCTCAGACTTGATCCGCACATCAATCTCAAATAGCTTGGACAACAGACAGTTTCATCGTTGGGCGACAGCTCACCAACCATTCGGTGTGATTTGCTAATAATGCCGTACGCAGCGAAAAGACTGTTGCTAAAACAATCCATAATTCATCTTACTGGACAGAGTACTTAGTAATCAAGATAAGCTTTATTGCAAACTCAACGGGAATACATCGAACCGCACTTCGTATCCTTGTCAACCCCAGCATCAGGTTGCGTCTAATCAGTAATACACCTGTTTCGGACTTACGGTAATCTTTCTATGTATTAGCGCTTGCTGATGGATGTACGTTTTCTGCATATTCTTTCAATCCATCCAAGGCCGCGGAGTTGTACAGGGTATCAATTATCCCTCATCACAGCTCGGTTGATTCAGCTTGGTTGGCCAAGCGCTGCTATATGATAAACCCGTTACCGTAGTTCCTAGGAAGATCATTCGACCGTTCTTCAATATGAACGCCACCTGCATCGAGTATCAAAAACACACTTGCTTTCTACGCGTTCTCCTATAATTGATGCTCATTTAGGGTTCACGAGAAAGCTGTTCCCTCCACAGCCTCAGCAGCAACATCGTGTAAGACGCTAGAAGCTGTTTTTTTTTTTTTTTTTAAAAAAAAAAGAACATATCGTACCTATGCTGGCATAATAATATTTAACCTCCTAATCAGTTCATTAATAACGATGGCTACCCTAATGTCGATTTTGCGGGATCTGGATATCCACGGGGTCTATTGATGTCCAGTCTTCGTTTTCCTCGATGGCTGTGTTGCCAGCACTGACACTAGCACTACATACCTGGTCTTTTGCTGGAGGGCCGTGCTCAGATCTTCACATCTACAGTGCCATTCAACGTAACCCCTCCCCGAAAAAAAAGCCCTCCATCTGTGACCTCACCTACCCCTTCGGTGTATATTGTGCGAGCCTCCTCAAACTCCACAGAAAACACAGAATACATTGAATCTTTCTAAACTATGGACTCTCGCTGCTCGTTGCTGGGAGACCGAAGGAGGGTCCTTCGAAAGGCTCGGCTTAAAGGCGAGCGAGCATTAAACGACCCCGCACTAACAAAGAGCTGCCCTTGTTCGTTTGTGTTTTGACAAGGTCATGAATGGCTCTCCAATTCCTGGGGCAGCCGTTCATCCTAGCCCCGAGTACACATTCCCAATTTTGTCTAGTTTTTCTCCCCATGTACCACCCCCCGTGACGCTCCCTAAGGCCGACGAGACGTTGGAAAGCCTCGTGTAGTTCTTTTTGGCTCGCGGACCCGCAGGTTTGCTGGTGGTCATGAAGGAATTGCGGCTCCGCTGCGTCTCCGTCTCGCCGGCAAAGGCGGGGACGGCCCCACACACCCACCCCGCCTCCGATTCAACCTCTCCCCAGGCTCAAATTCTAAGCGCTCTGAACTTTTTCCATTTACGGCCAACTTTGAACATGGCCACATGGGAAAGATGCGCCTCGTTCTTTCGTTGCGGCTCATGGCGACTTTCCCAGGCACACCCACACACCAGCACTTCTGGATCAGTAGCCTTGCGCTTCAGCAGTGTTTATCTCGCTTTTTGAGAGGCTAGCCACTTCTAAGGTGACCCCATCCATCATATCGACAATATTCCCTCAATATGATAGCTTTTCTCGAGAGCCGCAAACTTACATAAACTTTCAGCCCTGCTCATCGCCTCCGCAAAATTGGTCCAACGGCAGTCCGGTTGCACGCAACATGATAGATCATATGCTCCCCACAAACGAGAGCCGCAATTACTGAGATTGGGGATGACAGGACGACATTGGGGACCCCAACATAGGCATGCATACCTTGATGAAGCCCATCCGCTATCTTCAAAACTGCGGCATTGACGGATCCGCGACTCCACGCTTGCTTTTTACCCCGCCAGATCACTTGTCTTCTCCGTACATACCGTACGTACGACTACCCCACGAACGGGACCGCAGGTCGCAGTCTTCTCCTCATCCCCGACTTCAGGGACTTGTTGGGTCGGCGGCGGCTCCGTTCTTTTCCTGGGGTGGGATTAGATGTGTCAAGCTAGAAGTCTGCAGGTAGATCTGACCCCAGACTTGTGCTTACCATGGAATCATAATGGCAGGTGAATGTGGAGGAATGATAGGCTACCATGCCGTGGGCTTGGTTTGACAGGCATCTCCTATCGCCCGGCCCAATGGGAGTGGGACTTAGACTAGACTAAGGTAGTATTCTCTCAACATCTCATACACTGAATCTATGGGCTGATGTTGCTGGGGCGGTTGATGAGTCGGCCGGTTACCGGTAGTGTTCGGGAGTTGCAGCCCCGCATGCCCCAGATTCTCCAGATATGAATCAAGGCATTACTGGTAAGCTCTGTTGCTGTCCCCAACAGCCCGGGTCAACGTACTCTTTCTTTCTTCCGTACCCTTGGTTTCGAGAGTCATGACAATGGTTGTACTCCCTTGTTGGCAATCAGTCCATCACTTGCTTCATTTCCTGCATCACAGCCGTCATTACTCAAAAATAGAGATCTCCCTGCTACTCTCTTTTCTTAGAATTTACAACAGGAATGCTTTAAAACAAGCTGTTCCTGATGCGCTGGATCTTATGATGTGAGAAACCTGGTCTGACTGACCTGAGTTCCGTTCACGAGCAGCTACTGTGCTTGTGGTAGCTAGCAGCACTATGCTAGATAAGTTAGGTTTCCTAATACTAATATTAGAAACCATTGCCTATCGAGATACCCCCAATCAAAAAAAAAAAAAAAAAAAAGAAAGAAAAAAAGAAAAGAAAAGAGCAAAGTACGTCAGAGAACAAAAGCTCCTGTATCCCGCTTTATCTGGTTTATAGCCTACGCTGTATTTCTCCTTGGGCGTCATGGCCCCGGCTTTGATGTAAAATACCCGCTCAGATCGATCACCAAGTGGTGCGGCCGGTTAATCCTTTCTTTTAAAGTCTATTTCAGTTGTGGAAATTGGAACGCTTTTTGTCATGGTAGTGAGGCACCTATTTGATTGCCTGCGGCCTCGGGCAGCTGCAGTTGGGTGCCAACATTCAATTTATCTTTGTAGGCTGGCACTGATTCACAGCGCAGCCTTGCCTAGGCGCTGGCTCCTCTTCGTAATACCAGGCAGGAGCCTTTCCTTCCCATACTCAGCCTGATCGCCTGAAGCTCACATCCTCTTCTCCGCAGCTCAGCACACCAAGGCTCACACGTGCAATATTTCGGCTTCTTATCTTTGTTCGTTTCACTTCAACATGGCAGTATTAGATGAGATTCCTCTTGTCACTGCGCGTGTTCGTGTAGCCGGGGAGCTTGCGACAGAATATGACCCCTTTGATGATCAAGAACCCGTGATCAACCTTGACAAGGAAGGCAGCAAGATCCCTGCAAGAAACTGCTATATCGAAGCCAAGTCAGGTGCTGAGTTTGCCGTCGAAGTCACGGTCTCTGGGGAGTACCGACTCCCTCATTCACACGACAGGTTCATCGCCGAGGTCTCCATTGACGGCCAATGGATGGAATCTCGTTGCATAGGGACGCCTTTTTCTCCTGGCATGTCATCCACAATCGTCATCTCAGGCGCTGAGTTCTTAGCAGAGAATGGGAGAGTGGTTACCAGAAAATTTGTCTTTGCTCCTATTACCAAAACTCGTAAGCCTGCCTTCTATGTAGGTATCATTCCATCTCCACTAACAACGCATCAGCCGATCACATCAGTACTGATCGCCTCAACAATGATATCAAACAAGCGGAAACATTGGGAACAATCCGCCTGCGTCTTAAAACAGGGTGGTTCGAAGGGTCGAGTTTCCCGAAACCTCTCACTTGGCACGGAGGGCGAGATGTGGAGTTGGCTGAGAAGGCACTGAAAGGGAGAGCAATAAGCCATGCAACACTGTAAGTCATTGGATACTTACTTATTGGATGAAAGAGCTGATTAAGGTGACTAGGCTGGCTGAGACAGACCGGAAACCGTGTCCGGTTAGATCAAAGATCGATGATATGCGCCTACTGGGAGAAATCTTCTTTCGTTACCGATCCTACCGTATGCTCTTGCACCGATGAATATATCTTCTTCTTTGACACCATTGTCTAACTTTCAATGCAGAAGCGCTCCAGCATGAGATGATTATTCCACGCACTCCGTCGCCTGAGCTCTCAGCTACAGCTGGATTTGATGATGATCCCCTCTCTCACCTCTCCGAGAGTGACATTCGCCGTCTTGCTCTGGAAAGACTATATGACCCTCAGGTAAGTCAACTATTCGAACTTCCGCGATGGCGCACATCTAAGTCGCGGGCCACCTGGTGTGCCGTTCTTGAGTTTACGTTACTAACCTAATTCAGGTCAAGGATGAGGTTTATCAGATCAAACGGGAGGCATCGGAAAACCCCCGTACGCCTCGACCGTGGAAGTTTGTGAGACTAGAAGATGGGAAAGAGGCTGTTGACCTGACAGATGATTGATCTTAGAGTGATAAATCTCTGCCTCGAATTTGCGAGCGTTTATGCTATTAAGGACCCTTACTGTTCTGGTATCCTGTCGCAAAGATGGAGGTCCTAAACTATTTACCCATGGATGCAGGCCAATAAAAAAAAATAAAAAATAAGGCGTCTTTTCATGTCGGAAAGATATTCTAAGCATGTTCATGATCTTTCACACCGAGCACTCCGTACATATCCGCTGTCCCTTATTGCCCTGCAACTTTGGACGCATTTGTCTTAAATCATTGATTGTCGTGCCTGGCTATCGTTTTTGGTTGGACAGTGGAGCTCTGATGGTCAAGACTCGGCGTAGTCTAAGCTTGTACCTGTAGACTAAGCCGTGATTGGCTGCTCTAGCTTGTTGCTAAGACGCTAACGTGAACCTCCTCCATCTCCTTTCGCGGAATACCCCATGACGTTGCAGTTTAACTCTTCCCTCGATGACCGGCTCTTCACTTTTCATCAGCATCGTATTGCCACTGTCCTTGATCCTCAACCGCCTCGAACTCGAACATGCGCACGTATAGAAATGCTCTATTTGCCGTATCATAGCCGCCCCTACGTACGCGCTCGTCGCTGAGCGGCCTCCTTACCAGCAATGGCTCCCGAAGCTCCCAGCAATATCCGTGTCTTCATACGTTGGCACGACCAGACTGTCTTCGCCGGCGAGGAAGTCAAATGTACGATTACTTTTAGAAACGTGGCGCCAATACCAGGCCAGCTGAAACCACAGCCGCAACAATCGGAACGCAGTCGACTGGCCTCGCCTTTCCATGGTCGCTCCAAGTTGAACCAAGGATTAACGCCACCACCGTCAGCATCTTCCGGCAGAGGGCATCGCCGTTCTGCCCTTTCTTTAAGCGTTCCTGCATCGCAATCACATAGTCGTACTGGCTCAGTCCAATGGCCTTCATCAGCAGGCTCGAGTGATGGTCGCTCAAGCCACTCTCATAAGCGCTCTGTTTCCATTGTCTCGATAGGATCCAATAATACCGTGGAAGACCACACACAACGAAATGACTTACCTTCACGACCTCAAAGACCGCACCGAGGCCATGGGCGGGCTTCGAGTCTACAGATCATTCCTCGAGCGCAGGGCCAGCTCCCAACCGGGCCTCATTCCGGTTCGTCGCCCACACAGTACTATTTGAACTAGGAACTAATTCTTCTCAGCATCATTTTCTCCTCGTCTCTCAAGCTCTCCTTTGTTCCACGCCTCGTATCCTCCACCTGATCGATTCGGTCGCATATCACGACCGCCAGCAACTCCTCGCACACCTATTACAGCCGGCCAACGAAGACCATCGCCGCAACAAATGCCGGAAACCCCAATGCCGGAATTTCGCTTTCCTGCCGCCCCCTCGCCTGCTCAAGAAGTACGCCCAAGTTTATCTAGACGATCAACAAACGAAAACATGCTCAGCCCTAGGAACGCTGTGGGCGATTCCAGTGGACTGTCAATGCGCCTTAAGGATGGCGTTCCGACGATCAATGAGCAGCCTGCACCCGCGGCCCGCATTCTAGCAAGCAGCGGCGTTCTCGGAGGCACACCGCGGAGTAGCGGAGAGTTTTACTCTGTCAGCAATAACTCATCAGAAACTCTGGTATCGGAATACGTGACACAGCAGCCGACTAATCGTGGACACGCACGCCCACTAAGGAGAAGCCTTGGTATGCCGCCCCCGCAGTCGAGAGCGCCTGAATCTTTGATGATGGGGTATGCTCAATTACACGGCTCTTTCTCGTTAGATGGGTCCCTTGTCAGTCTCAGCCAATTTGACCAAGTCAAAAAGAAAGCTATAGTTGGGCAAGGCGGTGGTGTCGTTGGTCTCGAGTCCAAGCGCGACAGTGGTCTTCTAGGCGGATTCGGATGGGGTCGCATCAGCAGCTCTCTGGGCGATTTCTTAGGTGGGGGGGAGCTTAGCACAATTAAGGAGATGCGAGGGGTCGCAAACTCGAAATCTGTGCCTCTCTTGACTACACCACAGTCCATTTTATTTGTTGATCTGCAGCTTGCACCAGGAGAGAGTCGAGTTTTCGAGTACTCTTTTCGATTACCCAAAGGTCTTCCTCCATCCCATCGCGGAAAGGCCGTCAAAATCACATATAGCTTGGTTATTGGCACGCAGAGGGCTGGAGGAACAAAGGAGCAGCAAGTTAAGTCTGTTGAAGTTCCTTTCCGCGTACTGGGAAGTGTCAACAGCCACGGTGAGATACTGGGACATGACCTGATGAACCCCTACATCTTATTACGGGACCAGGCCCAAGTGAAAAGTCCCTCAAACAATGATAAGGGATCAAAAACCAATGGCAATGGAGTCAAAGGGCAACAATCTGCCCTGAATGACTTTTTGCTTTACGTGGAAGACCTGATTCATCGACCGCGAGATGAGAGTGGCAGTATCCTTCTTTCTCCGGCCGCTGGTAACTCTAGACGACCATCGGCATTCGAGGAAGCCAGCAACGCACACGATGCTATTCATATGGCAATCATGAGAAGCAATATGACCTCTGGTGGGCAGCAGAGCCCGAACCGGTTCGAAATTGCACGTAATGGGCAAAGGGTTGGTGTAGTGATGCTCACGAGGCCTGCCTACCGACTGGGGGAAGTTGTGACAATGGCTATCGACTTTACAGACGCTGACATTTCGTGTTACGCCGTACACACTACATTGGAAACATCGGAGAAAGTAGACCCGTCATTGGCAATAAGATCGGAGTCGAGCATCCACCGAGTGACCCGGAAAGTTTATTCGTCTTCATCTGAAGCAACGATGTACTCACGACGAGTCACCTTCAAGCCAACGATCCCCATCACTGCAACGCCTGAGTTTGTTACCAGTGGTGTCAGCTTGGAATGGAAGATTCGAATCGAGTTTGTGGTGCCATCCACGGGAAGCGATTCTCCCATTGAGCACGAAAGGCGAGCGCCACACCCATTGTTGGAGGAAATTTCACAAGATGAAAAGGGGGGGACGGTCTTAGTGGCAGTGGAAAATCTAATATGTGAGAGTTTTGAGATCGCCGTGCCTTTACGTGTTTATGGCGCAGTCGGAACAGGACTAGAGCGGCTTGAGCGGGATGAGGCTTCTGAAGAAGGCCTGGCTGTATGAAGAGAGTTGGACTGACCATATATTTGGTGGTGGGTGTTGGATATTTACTACTATGGGATCTGAAACAGCTCAGTTTATAAGGCAAGGAGCTTGTTGCAAATAGAATATTGGAGTTTGTATGTCAGATCAAAAAGAGCGGGAACACTGGTAATCGAAGAAATTAACTTGTTCGGGCAAGCCTGCGCCATTGGCGTCAGGGATTTTGGGAGATGGATGTCCCCAAGGTTGTTTGGGTGCCTTGAAGCTGTGTTGCCAAACAATAGGCAAACAGTCAACTCTGATGACGACGCGTTCGAGTCTTCAGGCGGTTGTTAAAACGGAATTGTGCACATATTATGGATTCCCTCGTTTTAGAGCTAGTCTATGGTTCATAGGTTGACTAAATTCCCATGGCTAATGTTAGGACTGTAAACCGAGATAAGAACAAGTGAGACATATCAGAATTAACTGGCACAAACATTATAAGCTCAGAATAGCTGGAGGCAAGACTAAAGATACAGGGCTGTTCGAACGGGACAGGGCTGGGGATATCCTCATTTCGCAATGGGCCGGGATGAGGCAAGCGGGTGACGACTATAGACGAATAAGTAAGGCTGCTCCCAGGGAAGCAATTTTCTTAGAGGGATTTTCTTCTTTGGTTTATTATCGCAAAGATACGGAGTACAGAGGTGGCTCTTTGGTGTGCATGTGTGTTATTGTTGTTATTGATAATGGGTCAGCTGGTTGGTAATGAGTGGCTGCTGGCTCGACAACGAGATGGGTACTGTGAGAAAGCATAGGTCGAGAGAGAGATCATCGGCTAAAAGTGAGTTTTCTTGTCAGTCTGAACGAAAGTGTCTTTGCATACATACGGATAGTAGCTGAGGAATCACGATTACGGAGTATTGTGTAAACATAAGAGTTGGGAACGTATCCAGGGGTTCAACATCATTGTCACCAACAAAGACTCTGGGTTCAATATTTACCACCGTCCTGGCCTGAAGTGATTGCGAGGTGACAGCCACTAACGGGAGAGCTAGACAGCAAGGATCAAGCCGCCAAGAACCACCTTGCTAAGGCCACTACTGATAGTGAGATAAACGTCAGGGACTTGGCTCTCATCAAAGCAACAAGGCCCCTGGACAACGAACAGACAAGGGTCCATGTAAACAACCCAGCAGAACAACTGCTTAGGCGTCCACCGAGGACATGGAGTTTGGACTTGGTCTTTGACAGGTATGATTAGACTATATTGACGGGAAGGGAATGGCCTGGGGTTGGGTTGAATTATAGTCATCAGCATTCCATCCCACAAGCTGGTGCGAACTTTCTTTTCTCTTTCCTTTCCTCCTCACCACCCGCTTTCGTTGGGAGCCCAGATCCAATGTGTTTTCAATCTTCATTGTCGCTCACTAACCAAACTTTGCCAGTCATTGTAAGTTGCTAATTCGCTAGAAAGAGGTCGCTATCCCGATCTCTGCGCTACAGCAACTGACGCCTCATCCGCAGCCTTAGATATTTCCATTTCTTACTTTCCGAATCTCGCTGCCATTAGCCCCCGCAGGCCCGCAGCAGCTTCCTGACTTACACCGCCCGCCATCCACTTTTGCAAACATCATCTTGCTTCTGCTGCTCTTTTGTTCGTGGGTGATGGGAATTGGCTGTTCATTCTTTAATTCAACTGTTGTTCTTTTATCGTAAAGGGAAATATTTCAGTGTTCTCGTCGCTCTTTCAAGCCTCGGTGCTTGCCCTTCTCGTACTTCACCATTGCACCATCTAAATCCACGCTAGACAATCTTCTCGACGACAAACCCGCCAAAATACCATCATCAAGTGTCAATGGAGGAAACATGGCTGCGACACCTTCCAACGGTCGTTTAAAGCTCACTCCTTCCAACTCTCCCTTTCTGGCTCGCCCTTCTAGATCCTCCAGGTCGCCTATGCGTGGTCGCACACACGATGCCTCGAAGCTCTCCCTCCAGCGTGTCATTGGCACAACATGTACCTCTCCAACAGGCTTCGATACTCTCCCGTCTGTCTTTGCATACATAGCCGGAGGCGCTGTTGTGGTGGTGGATGTCAATGGCGATAACCACACTCAACGTTTCTACCGAGCCCGACCGACCGCCGTCCCACTCTATTCCGTAGCAACCTTTCAAAACACACCCACGACGCCCTCGGGAACACCAAAGGCGAACGACAGCCGGGGACGTGTAGGCCCGCGGTTCCCTAACTCACCCCACACTTCGTCCGACTGGAACGAGTCTCCTAGCAATACTTGGACAAGTCGCGAGCGGATCAAGGCTGCAACATGCCTTGCGTTGAGCCGAGATGGAAAATATTTAGCTGTTGGCGAGACTGGATACTCCCCACGAGTTCTGGTTTTTAGCTTACACGATACTTCTTCTGACAACCCTCTTATATCGATCAGCGAACATGCTTTTGGGGTCAATTGCGTTGCGTGGTCTGCAGACACCCAATATCTTGCGTCTCTAGGAGCCGCTAATGATGGATTTCTCTATATTTGGAAGGTCGACCCTCGAACAGGCGCGGCTAGACTTTACAAACAAAACCGATGCACATCATATGTGAAGGATATGCTATGGATGGGCAACTCCCTCATCACATTTGGCGTCCGCCATGTCAAGATGTGGAAACCTGATGATGGCCCGACTATTTCGCCTACAAAGCAGAAGTTCTTCAGTGAACAGCCGGCCTCTACTCCACCCTCCCAAAGAACCCTACCGGGGCGTAACATCCTGCTAGGACCTCTCTTGGAGGATACTTTTACTTGCGCTGCTGTCGTCAAAAACTCCAGCCTCCTCATTTGCTCGGAAACGGGTTGTGTATGTATTATGGCGGAGGACGATAGACAGATGAAATTGCAGAAGGTCCTTGGCTTGGACTTCTCCATCTCGACTATTGCTGTCAAAGACAATGTTGCCTACGTTGGTGGTAGACATGGCCATTTGGCTGTGCTTGACATTGAGGCTGTTTTGAACGCTCAACCACCGTCGGCATGTATCAAGGAGACTACCTTTTGCCCTACAGGACAAGTTGCCCTGGGTTTTCTGGCACACAAGCTTGTCACCATTGATTCGCAACAGTCCATTGACATCTGGAGCTCAGACCATGTGCCTGGCAAGAATACCAAGGCAATGGCCAGCATTCCTATCCCTGGTCATGGACAGTCTGTTACAGGCATACAGGTCTTGGAGCGACCAAATGATCTGAACGCTTCGTTTTTGACGTGGACAGTTTCTGGGAATGTTTCCTTCTGGACATTGGAAGGCCAAGTCCAAGCCTCAATTGATGTACCAATTGGAATGACTGAACCAGAAAACGAACTGGACTCGGCTAATCAACTTACCTGCGCCCGTGCAACGAATGATGGCAAACTACTTATTTCTGCGGATAGAATGGGCGTGTTACGAATGACGGACATCGCCACAAAGGAACCCGTTTTAGACATCAAGGCACATACGGCTGATTGTCGATCCGTCAGTGTCTATGACAGGGATGGCAAATTTCTCATGGCGTCCTGTGGACGGGACAGAACTGCGCAGCTCTTCCGCCGGACTGCAGGCGGCTCCGTCGAGCATTTTCAGACATTGGAATTCGCTGCGAAGGTCGTGCAGGTTATGATCCCGTCCGAAGACAAGGTGCTAACCTGTTCATTTGACCGAACATTACAAATTTACGATATCATCACAAAAGAGGACGATCCCGATTCTGTTGCTGCTATCCCTTCCAGAGTAATTTCTCTCCGAGCCTCGCCTAGCTCAATGGTCTTGGGCATGGGCCAAAGAACTGTCTTTGTCTCTCTACTAGATCGGTCTATTTGCCAATATGAACTCAACACGGGACGTAAGATCTCTTGCTTCAAATGTCAAGACGAGACAAAAGGCGAGTCGGCTGTTCTTGACTCGCTCTGTTTTGGGCAATGGCCACCCAAAGACCAAGACTTCCTCCTCGGAACATCCAACACAGACAAGTCCATTCGACTATACGATGCCCAGACAGGGAGCTTCCTGGACCGGGAGTGGGGTCACACTGAAGCGATCAACGGTGTTTGTCTTATCGAAAATGATGATGGAAGCCGCAAGGTTGTGAGTGTCGCTTCGGATGGAACAATGATGATATGGGGTCTGGATTTGAACGATTCCCCGCCTCGTTCCATGAGTAGAGAGCCCTCACCCGCCAAAGACTCTGTTTCAGGACGGCCGCCACTTCGCAGGGTCTTGTCAAAGGCTGAGCTAGCTGAATTCCAACGACCTTCGCCGACATCTGGTCGGAGGTCACCGCCCCGAACCCTACAGCGGAGAACTTCGCGATTCAACCTAGCTGCTAGCGTGAGAACGCCTACTCAAGGACTGCCAACAAGCCCTAGTAGCACATTGGCCGAAGATACACCATCAAGACGGCCTTCTGCTGACCCGCGGAACAGTCCCCCAGTGTCTCCAAAGGGAAAGGTTACCAGACGACCTTCTCTTCCCAATATAGGCACCAGTGCACGCAAAAAGACATCCTCGTCAAACTTGCGAGGCTTTGGCTCGCTAAATATGGCGACAGAACAAACCTGCCGTCAGCTTAGATCATACAGGAAGAAGCTTGCTTCCTCGGAGCCCATTAGCCAAGAAAATCTGACAGAGCTAGATCAGGAGTTGCGACTGACTGCAGCAGCTCTTGGTGACCGGGCTATTCGAAGCAGAGCCATGAACGAGACGGTCCTTAGTGGTCTTCTGGATCAATACTCAGAAAGACTAGTCACATTGCTGGACGAAAAGCTGCGTCTCAGTTACCAGCCGAGATCTCCAACTGAAAAGGATGGAGACAGTGGAGAAGGAGATAGCCCAGATGAGGAGGCCAGGCGCAGTGTTAATGGATCCTCAAGTTCGCTTTCTCCTTAGAGTTTTGTCCTTGCCTGTTTATGAAGGGCCATTTTCTTCTATTCTTATTAACTTGGATTAAGAGGGCAACGGCGTTAAATGGTGGCGGATTTCATGGGATGGACGGCGGGGGAATAAAGCAATCATCAAGTGTATCTTGATGCCAAGTTCCAATATGATACCATGGGTCTGGAGTTTTACTGTTACTTTTGTCAGGGATAAAATAATCCTTTATCATAGCCGGAACCGGGATTTCTTGCCAACGCAATAGACATGATCAGGCACCGAAGTATTCTTCTCGCATTAACCGATAAATTCAGGTTGTCTTGAAGTTGTTATATTATGTGACCAGAAACCATAGCCCTTGTTTTCCATGATTGCTTGCCGCTTCCTGTTGGCGTTCAGGGGTATCACGTGCAAAGCCAGGCTTTAGCGTCTACGCAGCTTGGACGAACTCAGCCCAGTTTTTCTTCCCTGCATCATCGAAATCAACCATCACATTATCGGCGATTCGGATCACGTGATATTCTGACAGACGCATCGCCTAGACGAGCAAAAAATTACTACACCATTGGTTCGATCGAGCGCGTTCCGCAACAAGAAGCCCAGCGCACCCGATGAAAGGCCTAGAGGTCGCCATAGACGGTTCTGGAGTCACTGATTAAGGTTGCCTGTACGTGTTTGATTGATAGAACCCCGACCATGACGTAGCTACACCTGTGTCCGACAGACGCCTAACTAAAGTACCATAGACCGTGGCGCCAGTCCATCTTCTTGCTCGACGTGAAGGCCCCTTGGATAGCTGGCGAGGTGGACCGCGGGGCATGAATCAACCAGCCTTCCACACGCCCCTCGAGTCGCTGCTATTATTCCAGTCGTTGGTAGCCCAAGGATTCGACAATGGGGTCTTCGCGCGTATCTCTGAGCAACTCATCAACAACGCACTCATCAAGGAGGGATCTACTTATGATCCCGCACGATTAAGACCCGATGCGCTTCAACATCTTTTTCTGCGACTTTTGGGGGATGAACTGAGTGGTGAGCATGAGAGGGCTGCGACCAACGATCAGACGACATCACCAAACTCGCGAAAACGAAAGCTCGGGAGTCCAACTTTGCCGACACTTAAGGAGATTTACGAACATGTTGACAAAATTCCCCCGCTTATTGACCGCCTATATGCGCGATATAAGGATAATACCGTCGCGCAAATTCGAGAGGATGAGCGCAGCTTTGAGACGTCCCAAAAGGAAATCCAAGCAATGGAGCGATGTGAACGAGAACGACGCGCTAGAGTCGCGAGCCAAAATGGAACACCCGTACTTGCTGCTCGTGATCAGAAGTCTTCCGTCACGCCTAACGGGTCAACATCCTCACCTGCTATGGCAACAGGCTCGGCGGCACCAGTTCGACGAGGCCCAACACAACAGACGCCTGTGATCCCACCAAAACCGCCTGTTTCCCACAACACACAACCAACAGTTGCACCGCCTAGCCACATGCCTACTGGAACGGCATCGATCCGACCTTCGACCTCACCCACTCCCCCGAGTTCTAACGGGTCGGTACTTCAGCCCCCAGCAGGTGTCCCGCAAACAACACCACGACCATTACAGGCGCCACAACCTCTTAAGCAGAGCCCTGCTCCTAGGCCAGACAACGGAGCCAAGCTGAAGGATGGCAATACGGCTTCAGGAGCCGCTCTGAAGTGGGAGAAGCCTTATCAACCGCCACAAACAGCTACACCCCCTCCTCGGCAGGTTCAATCACCCGTTGCCCAAGGACCAACAGCTCCCCCGCCAGCTCTGCAACAACAGCATCTGCAACAACAGCATCTGCAACAACATCCTCAACAACACCCACAGCAGGTATCATCGCAACAGCATTGGTACCCACAACAAACTGCTCAATTCTCTCCCAAACCTGGTGCTCAACCATTATCTCATCCTCAAACGCCCCAGCAGGCTTGGCCACATCCTACTGCTCCACAACCTCCCCAGGCACAGTCTCAAGCTCGAACTCATCATCAACAACGCCCTCAACCTCCGCAGGTTATTCAGCCATCACCACCAACGCAGCCAGCTCCCCACACTCCTCGGGCTCAGCACGCTACGCCACCACAACATGCCCAACAAATACAAAGAATCCAAACGCCTACACAAGCACAGCAGGCTCAGGCTCAACAATCTTCGCAAACTCAACCTGTCACCCATACCCAGCCCCATTCTTTGCCACAACAGCATCAACAGAAGCCACGTCCAAATACCGCAAAACCAGGCCTGGCACCACCGCAGCATGCTGGTCAGCTAGCCCCTCCCTTACAGCCGGCCCCTCCACGACCAGTTGCAGAGTCGCCCGGAGGCCAAACACTCCATGCCCGTCCGTCTTCCACCACGCCCGTGCCACATCCGCGCCCTATCCAGCCCCCCCAAGGGCAGACTCAGCAGGTCCGACAGATTACCACAGGCTCCCCAGCTCCTCTTACAGCAAGTGCAGGCTCCGCTGCCCCTCCTCAGCAACGTCGGCCGCTTGGATATCAACCTCAACCTCAGCATGGCTCACCCGTCAGCTCTCCCGCGCCATTGGCATCTAAGGTTCAATCATCGCAATATGCCAGCCAACCTCCACGACCTGGCGTTTTGGGCCACATCATTCGGCAGGCCCTAAATACCCCAGTCAAGAAGCTTGGAGTACCATCGGCACCGCACACGCCCATCTCAGCAACACCCACTCACGTTACTCACGGGTTTGGAACAAAATGGGCTCCACATTCCACTCCGTCCACTCCGGGCCCTAGTCATATGAGCGTGGCACCTCAAAGTCCAGCTTTTGAGCCAGTCAGTCCTCCTCAAAAACCTGCAACTTTACCGAGCTCTGCTGGGTCAACACCAAGACCATTGAGAAAGCAAGCGCCTAAAACAGCTTCGAAAGTCGAACAGACCGTAGCTAAGCCTGCGCGCGGCCGGTCTACCAGAGTCGGGCAGAATGCTCGTGCAGTTAGTTCCACACCTTCTCTCACTCGATCCAGGAGAAGCCATTCTATCCTCTCCCACACTGATGAGCCTCCGACTCAAACAAGTGAACTAGCACCCAAGATTAAGGATGAAGATGTTACACCTCGGCCCACGGAAGACACAGGCGATACTACCGCCGATGAGAGCGTCCCTGGTCGGCCTCAGATCATGACTCCTGGCAGTGTCTCTTCGCGCCTCTATAAACGAAAGAGACAAACTACACCGGTCAACCCACCACCCGAGACAACTCAAGTTCTTTGGACCCGAGGTTTCACTAAAGTTTCGTCATCTGCTCTGGATCAGATTTCTAGCCACCGAGATGCGAACATGTTTGCTACCAGGCTCCGTGAGAAGGATGCGCCAAATTATCGCCAGATTGTGCTGCAGCCTCAAGATATAACATCCATCCGGGCTGCTATCAAGCATGGGAATAAGGCGGCTGTTCAGGCCGCAGCCAGTCTTCCCGGCGGTGATCCCGGTACTGCGCACGTGTGGCTACCTATATCTGACGAGCTTGTTCCTCCAAAGGGCATTATCAACAGTGCTCAGCTTGAGCGCGAACTTGTCCACATGTTCTGCAATGCCATTATGTACAATGCTGACCCCGATCGCGGTCCTGGGCCTGGATTTATGAAACGCTCTCAGGACGAGGAGGAGGAAGAAGTAGTGGGCTACCGCCTCGACGAGAATGGCGTTGTAAAAAATACCCGCAGCATGTTTGTCGAGGTCGAAAAGCTCTTAGGTGACCTACGAAGTGCGGAAAAGGAGCGTAGCGCGCCTCCGCCTTCGGCTGCTCGTCCAGCCAGCGTCGCTACCCCCGCTGAGGAAACGGGCGACGACGAAGATGAGGGTGAACGTGAGACAGGAACAGCCAAAAGGCGTCGCATAGGAGCCCGGGGCTGATCGTCCTGATCCGCACTAATTTAAAAGACAACTATGTCTTTCTACTGAATGTCGGCTTCATAAACTGCAAAGGGAAGCAGCATGTAATTTTTGTTATTATTGTGTACAGCGCCTAGAATAGCTAGCCTCTCGATAATCACCAACCGATCCAGATCCATGCCACTTTGACTCTGGCATTTTGTGTGCGTAATCTATTCCCTTGTCATGGGCTAGTAACATGCCCGATCACACTGCGGTAAACTCCCTGCGCCTTTGCTAATATTCATGTGTCATCATGCCATCATCAGGTCGAGAGTGCTGGATTTATTCGAGCTTCGGGGCCCCCTGTGATGTGCTTGATCGATTACTATGTGCACCCTTCTTGGAACTTGCATCATCATCGGCAGGTCTCTTGCGAGGCCAGTCGGGGCATATATCAATGTTGTCCCTCGGAAACCACCACTCTAGAAAGAGAAAAAAGAGGTAATCCACAACACAACAAAGACAGAAGAGCTTTCCAGCCCAGATACCACAACCATAGTAGCGCTTCAGACGATCTATAAGAGCAAAGTTGCGTATGCGGCTACCGTAACCTGATGTATCAACACCATAGAATTCGTCCTCAGGGATGGTGCCCGAAATGCCATCATAAACGCGTTCCGTGCGCAGAGCGACATTTTGCCATGAGTACATCTTTTTGACTTGTTCGTGGAATTTCTCGGTGCGAATCTTTCCCGCACGCATCGCACTGATGGCCTTGCTTGTGGCGAGGACGATATCGTCTTCTTCCGGTTTGGCGAAAGTCGTCATATGCGAGGGCAGGACTTCTGGGATGCCGCCGACCTGTGTACACACGACATAAAGCCCACAGCTGGCGGCTTCAACAATGACAGTTCCGAAAGCTTCGGTCAGAGATGGGTGGAGGTATATGTGACCTCGAACCATGACATCTCTTACTTCTTCGTGACGGATGGGACCGAGCATCTCGACACGATCCTGGAGCACGTTTGTTTCGATCATTTGTTCAAGATCGATGGCTTTGGGGCCAGAACCGGCAATGATAAAGCGGGTGTTTGGATGATTTTCCAACACACGAGGAATAGAGGCAATAAGGAGATCAGTGCC